ATTTTGAAGCACAGGATTGGATCTGGGGAGAAAAGGAAAGATGATATAGTTTGGTGATACTTGAAGCTATAGAAGTGACTAAATTCCCAAAGAGAAATAAGAAAAACTTAAGAAAATCAAGATAAACTGTCATAGGAGATGACTTCATTTATAGCAGAAGGAGGAAGTCAAAGGCCCCCCAAAAGAAATTTAGAAAGTATCTGTGTTTAGGGATTTAGGAAGAAGGGGAAGGAAGTTTTAAGGAAATAGTGAAAGTTAGATGGCTGAGAATTCAGGTTCAGAGTCATGAAAGCCACAAGAAGCCAGAAACACAATGAAAGTTTTAGGAAGGATGTGAATTCCTTATTACTGACTCAGAGTAACTTATTATTATGCCAGTGCCTTAAGACAACCAAAGGAAGATGAGTATCAAATTTTATTTGATAATTTGATAGTTCCTGTTGATCATCTGCGGAACAATTTCAGTGGTTGTAAAAAGGGCTTGGGGGTAGTGTCTGACCTCTTCCTACCTCACAAGAGGGAAGGAGAACCAAGATCAATAGCGCAAGGCTGACTCCCATGAGATGGAGGCCAGAGAAGCCTCCTTTTGGCCATCTTTACTAATTCTGACACCAACTGTTCATCGTACAGCACTCTCTACTTCTCTGCTGGGTTCGATAATTCATTGCAGTGGCCACACAGAACTCACAGACCATACTCATGATTAGGGGGTATATTAGGGAAGTAACAGTTAGACTTCAGGCTCAAGAACACTCAGGATACAGTTCTTCCATCAGGATAGACTCTCCCCAGCTGTGCTTCCAGGCATGCCTCTCCCCAGGCCCTTGGCCTCTGCCCAGGGGCACTCAACTTTATCTCTCTGTGGGCTGGGAAGCCCACGGCACCATCTCCTGCTCCTGAGTCTCATGCCACCACTTCTCACCATCTTCAGGGTTACAGCTTGCTCTCTCTCGGCCTCCTGCTTCCAGGAACTTCTCAGCACAGGGATTCTGGGTCCAAAGGACATGCTCTTCACTCCTAGTTGCTCTTCCTTGGTGGTGGTAAGATCCTCCTCCTTGCTCTGGAAATGGCTCTCTTTTAAGGCAAAACTGACCAATCCCCTTGGTAGGCACAATTACCCTATCACACAGTCCTGCCCAGTCACCTGGATGGGAGTTACAAGACCATGGCTGGAAAGGCTATGCACAAAAGTAATTAATCCACCACAGTGGTGAAGCATGCCAAAAGCTAGATATCAAAATGGTGAGGAGCACTGGTAAATGGGACAAGGCGTATGAATGCTCTTTCAAGAATGCCTATGCCTTAAGGGATGCAGGAAATCACAAAGTGATTCTATAGGACAGAGTGTCAGTAGAAGTTACTTTGTTTATCAGGATAAAGAGATTTTAAGAATATGTATTTGACACAGAGGAGTCATTAAAAAGGAAGAGATTGAAAATCCAAACAGGAATCCTTCCTTCATTTCTGTGTTGCCCACTTGCTAAATTTCCTCTTTATCACGTTTCTCAGTGTTTTAGGGTCTATATATGTTATGCCCTCCTAATTACTCCATTGGCTTCAAGTTTGTGTAACTTCAATTCTGATCAAGATTTGTCATCTGAGCTCTGGTATTCCATGGCCTATGGGACACCTCTACGAGCATCTCACTCTAAATATGCACTAAGCTGAGCTCATCTTCTTTCCTCACTCTTGTATGTACCCTTCCTCAAGTGTTCTCTATCAGTAAACTATTCCACTGTTCAACTAATTGCTCAAGTCAAATTTATTTTCCATGCTTTTCCCTCTACTCCTTACCTTAAACAACTTATCAGTGAACATAATTGATCAATTCTACTTTCAAATAATCCCTGAGTATTTCTCCTTTCTCTACCCCCAATGCCTCATGAAGGTCTGAGCCACTATCACTTCTCACTTCTGCTTCTGTGACAGCTTCCAGCCTAGTCTCCCAGTCTTCATTCTTGATCCATGATAACTTGTTATTTTCATCAGACAGTGATCTTCATAGAAGAAAAATCTAATAATATCACTACTCAGTTGAAAACACTTCAGTGGTTTTCCCTATGGCTAGTAGGATAATTGTACTCCTAAATATGTAGAAACCACAAATGTAGGTTTGTGTTAAACACACATGCACACTCATACACTCGTGAATTCCTAGGAGTTTAACTTCACCAATATTGTAATAATTACCTGGTTTATAACATAATAACCTCTATCATGTCACATTCATTATTCTGCTCACCATTTCTCAAGACAAACATACGTAAACACAAATATACCTTTTTTTTTTTAAGTTGTGCTGTAAGTGGAAGTTAAAAGTTCAAGTCAGTTTCTCATACAAAAATTTATATACACATTGTTATGTAATCCTAGTTGCTCTCCTTACAATGTGACAGCACACTCCTCCTTTCGACTCCGGATTTTCAGTGTCCATTCAACCAGCTTCTGTCCCTTTCTGCCTTCTCATCTCACCTCTGGACAGGAGCCGCCCATTTAGTCTCATGTATCTACTTGAGCTAAGAAGCACACTCCTCACAAGTATCATTTTATATCTTATAGTCCAGTCTAATATTTGTCCAAAGAGTTGGCTTCAGGAGTGGTTTTCGTTTTGGGCTAACAGAGACTCCAGGGGCCATGTCTTCCGGGGTCCCTCCAGTCTCAGTCAGACCATTAAGTCTGGTATTTTTACTAGAATTTGAGTTCTGCACGCCACTTTTCTCCTGCTCCGTCAGGGACTTTCTGTTGTGTTCCCCATTAGGGCGGTCATTGGTGGTAGCCAGGCACCATCTAGGTTTTCTGGTCTCAGGCTAATGGAGTCTCTGGTTTACATGGCCCTTTCTGTCTCTTGGTCTAATATTTTCCTTGTGTCTTTAGTGTTCTTCATTCTCCTTTCCTCCAGGTGGGTTGGGACCAATTGATGCGTCTTAGATGGCCACTTGCTAGCAGAAACATATCTTTACGCATATGAACAAGTAGAAATTTATGAGGAAAAACAAGTTTTGCAACAATTGTTACAGTTAAAGAAATGTATTATTTTGTATGCCTAAAAAATGTTAGTGCTAAGTTCCACTTTAAAATTATTCTCCTACTCTTGTTCTGCTGGTACTTTGCACTTTAAATATGAATAGTTAACATTTCATATGTTTTACATTACTTACATAGTCTGTATAATTTGCCTGAGAAGGATATTGAGATGTAACCCTGTGAAATATACTAAGTGCATGGTCCAGAGCGAAAAGTTAAGAGGTTACAAGCATGCAACACATGATAACAATAATTTTTCACAGGTGTGAAGATCAGGACTAAATAACCTGGACTGTATATGATAAAGCTAGTTTCAGGGTTCTGATCTCTTTCCTAGAATCTTAATAATGGTTCTAACCTGTATCTGTATATTTCATTCCACTTGATATCATAACGCACCATGGGACTACAGGTAGATTATTTTAAGAGTTTAAATGCCTGCAATGTACTAAGCACATTCAATAAAATAAACTCAGATTTTTAGTACATTACATATTGAAGCCATGAGGCTACTGCCTATTTCCAAATAGTTTTATGAGCCACAACCATGTCAACCCAGATATTTACAAAAAATATTTCCGATGTGGGACTTGGAACAATGCTGATATACATTCTGCATAATTTATGTAGCCTTCTTTTTCTCTGCCTTCCTTCCTTCCTTGCACAAATGTTCATCAAATGCTTACTATGTTTTAAGTTCTAGGATCACAGCAGCGAACCAATGTGCCAAGACTCTATTCTCGTGTAACTTACACTCCATTGCAGTGGAAAGGATAATAGGCAATAAGCAAATGAAGATAGGTGATGGAGAGACAGACAGACAGACAGATAGATAGGTAGATAGATAGATTATAGCCGATGTTGAATAGTATTAGGAAGAAAAATAATGCATGAAGAGAAATGAAGAATGACCCTGAGTAAGAGTTTCAGTGCTTTAAAAAGGATAGTCAAAGAAAGTCTCTCTGATAAAGTAATATTTGAGACCTGAGTAAAAGTGGGAATCCAACCTTGAAGATATATGACGGAAAAGAATTATTCAAGGAGGAAAACTGAGGCAGAACTGAGAATCAGGAAGGGGGTCGGTATAGGGAGCTGGAAGTAAATTAGGGAAGAAAGGGCAGGAGAGAAGTGAGAGGTAGCTAGGGACCAGATCACAAATGCTTTCTGATTATTGAAAGGATTTTATATTCTATTGTGAGTGAGTTGGAAAAATATTGGAGGATTTGGAGAGGGAAGTAACACAATCTGACATATAAGAGGTCCATGCTGGCTGCTGTGTGCATAATAGACGGAAGTTCGTAAGGTGGAAACAAGGCAAACAGAAATCTATTGTAACAATCCAGGATGCTACCCTGGGAGAGTGTGGTCCTGGGGGTCGTGGTGAGAAATGATGATGGATGTGGATTTGCTGATGAATAGATTGTGGGATGTGAAAGAAAGAGAGGACTCAAGGTTGTCTAGAAGATTTTTGACCTGAATTCCTAGTAAAATGACACCGTCGTTCACTGAGATGGGAAAGAGCAGGGGAGGAGTTGTTCTTTTGTTTTATGTGGATTTCACCTCTCCTGTCCCACCCAGTCTTTGCCAGAAATTGAAATAGATCAGTTGGTAGTTTGATTGAAACTATTTTATGCTTGAATGGAAGAATAATAGCAATGATTGCAATAAGTAATATAGCACATGGCAGTGCAAAATATTTTAATACCCAGCAATGTATTTGCAATACGTGATCGCTTTGAGAATTTCTGCACTTACTCCTTAACCTTCCAAAAAACATTGACAAAATTTTTTTGAGAAACAAGGTGATTTGTAACATACTTTAGAATGAATAAAGTTTCACTTGTACTGAATAAAAGTGAACGAAGGAAAGATTAGTTCCTTGAAATACATCAAACAGTAAGAAAGCGGTAATGGACTGTAATGAATGATATTTATTCTACTGTGAATTAACATATATGCTATAATTTGTTTCTCAGATCCAAGGTTCATTAGTGCCCACCTCATCCCAGAGAGTGACAACCCTGAAGATGACAAAGTGTATTTTTTCTTCCGTGAAAATGCGATAGATGGAGAACACTCTGGAAAAGCCACTCATGCTAGAATAGGTCAGATATGCAAGGTGAGGTAAAGAAAAAGCATGGAAGAGCAGGTCATTGTGCAATCACAGCTTTTTTTTTTTTCCTTCTTCCACCTATGTGCTAAGACAATGAAAATCATAGTTAAAAAATTTGACCGATCACATCAAATATTTAAATGGTTAAAAAAATATTGAAATACATTGTAGTTACTTAAGAGAAATTCTACAAAACAAAACATGTAGGTAAAAGTTGTGATATAACTGGTGTTATTTCACAACTAGATTAAATGATAATGGTTTAAAATCCTTTATTTTTTCCCATATAATCTGGGATAATGTAAGGATCATTCTACACTTCTTTCTTTCACAGACCTAGCACAGTTTCCTACAAAGTGTAAACTTTGAACAAATACTTGTTGGAATAACTGAAGTATTAATTTAAATTTAAGAAAGACAAATATTAAAGCTTGTTTTTACAAACTGATTTTGCATCCTATGCACGTACTTACATACACACAGAATTTTGAGACTCTGAGCTTTATTTTATCTGAAGTATTTCATTTATTGTGTGGCATTGTGGTGTTGGGCGTATAAACTAGAGAAATTGTTCAATAAATACTTATGGATTAATTAGTATCATTAGTATCAATGTGAAAACATGATAACAATGCTTATTTTCCCTTATATAATGTGTAGTGTAGTATAAATGCACTGTGGATGAAACGAAATGTTAGTATATATTAAATTTCAGCTCAAGAAAATGACAAAGCTAGTTCCAATCATTTTCTTATACTAAAATTATGTTTTCTTAGGAAAGTATCATGAAATTTAAAAATATCATGATATTTTTAAGGTTACCAAAATATTTTTGGTAGCCTGTTTTCTACCCCAATCATTGTCCAATTATTTATCTCTAGTGTATTCAGTTAATGGAGAATTTAAAGTTTTGATGATCTGGAAACATACAAGTAAAATGTGAAATAGATGAGACTCTTTTCTCCACAAATCATAGATGATATTAAAAGTATTACAGGTGTTTAAACATCCTTATACCTAAAATATGAATCAGTTATATTTTTAAGGAACCAGTTTATGTGCATAAAATATTATTTTAAAAGACTACAGTTGCCACTAAATACATACCATCAAAATAGAATTTATTGCTACATTTAGGCTAAAGCCAAGTTTTATTTGTGGTGAGGAGACACTTTTACAAAATATTTTCTCTGGAATGAGTTTCCTTTATTAAGTTTTATGCAAATATTTTCTCTACATGATACCTATAAAATCGAATTACTTCAACTGTTTAAGATTATAAAATGTGTGATGCTAGCAAGTTTCTATTTGGGGTGTATTTTAGTATAGGGTATAAGGCATGCATTTATTCATCCATTCAATAATACTCACTGAGTGCCTCCTATGTGACAAGCACTGGCTGTGACCAAACCTACGTATAAGTAAGATCTCAAGGAATACACAGTAGGTAGAAGAAACAAAACAAACATGAGCGTAATAACTGCTAATTGCAGCGTAGTAACACAATGGAAAAAATTGTCACAATGGAAATGGCTTTTTTATGTTAAAATATATTTATTACAATTATTTCCTTGAATAACTTTCAATGAATTATTCCACCAACAATATAATAAAGAGTCATAGTTTCTTATATCTGGATATTTGAAATGATTATGGAACTTTCAAAAACTAAGGAATTACATTTTGTGTTTATCTCAAGATACAAGAAAAAGAAATATTTGACATTATCATTTACATGTGTAGTTCCTAAAACTGACCTTCACTCCTTTCAGAATGACTTCGGGGGGCACAGAAGTCTGGTGAATAAATGGACAACGTTTCTCAAAGCTCGTCTGATTTGCTCCGTGCCAGGTCCGAATGGCATCGACACTCATTTTGATGAATTGCGTAAGTAGCTGGTAGTGTTGTATAGAGAAAGTTTGCTCAGAGTTTGCAATGACCATCAAAAATGCAACTTTCCCCAATTTTGTTTTCAAACAGAGGATGTTTTCCTAATGAATTCTAAAGATCCTAAAAATCCAATCGTATATGGAGTATTTACAACTTCCAGGTAACTAACTTTTTACTATCTTATTATCATAGAAACTTTGTGTCTTTAGGTGATTTCAGTGTCTCCATAATTTGTGAAAAGATATTTTTGAAGGCACAGTGTTGCTTTAACTTTTGAACTGTTATGCCTTCTTGGATGGCTGAAATAAGTAATGACCTAAGTAGTTGTTTTTTTTTTTTTTTTAATATATTTCAGCAAAGAATATCATGACTATGAATTAAACGGTGAAATAACTTGAAAAATTTATGTCATAAACTATGTATAGTTTTGGCTTTAAAAATATAAATGAAATACAGAATATTACAAAAATAGAAATTTGAGGTTTGGCAAGAGTGTGTAAGGATAGAAACTAAGGATAAAGAAAAAAAGCAACCTTAATTTAAAATTTGCTGTTCTAACTAAAGCAATTCTCTCTGTCTCCTTCTCTCTGTGTTTCATCAGTTGCTAAATGAATGAAATAAAAGCCCAAACATTCTTTGATACAAGCAGTTCCATTGAAAGTCATCTCTCTTCTTTGGCCAGACTGTTTATGTCAGCATCTGTGGGAGAAAAATACGTCCACGTAGCAGCCTGTAACACTCCTGCTACAGAAATGCATGTGGCTCTTGGTCCTTTCATTATTGTCTACTCCACGTACAGATGCTTTCTTTTATTTTCCTACACACATCTCTGGAACTGAAGTAGAAATTCATGAGTTTAGGGGAGGTTGATTAATTCACCAATGAACCTATTAAATTGCTTTTAGGTACTTTAAAAAATCATTAATATGGTAATCAAAATGTCTCGATTATATTTTTTTAAGCTTTTAAAGTTGGTAAATAGATCCCCTGACTTTATTTTTTTTTTCACTATAGTTACCATTTTTTTTTTTGGAGACTCTTCTTAGTTTTGTATAGAATCCGGATTTAAAAAATAGCCATGGAAAAAATTCAATACACGCACACAAAACAAGACAAAAAACCTGTGCACTTAATCAACACTAGGTTTTATCCTATGTTATTTTCACATACACTCTCAATCTTAAACTTCCTCTCCTCCTTTTCCCTCTGCCTCTCCTCCTCCTTCCCTTTTTCCCCTTCTCCCTCCCTTCCCCTTCTGCTCTCAGGCTGCAAGAAGACTGTGATAGCACAAAGAGAAAGATTAACTGCAATATGAACGACGGTTTATTCTAAATCCATTATAAATTAATTGGAAATTTTTACTTAATAATTTAAAAAACAATATGTAAAGATTAAGAAACTCATATTAATAAAAATATTTACAATTTTCCCATACCTAAATGTTTCCTCCCCTTTTGTATAAAAACACAATGGCAACTAAAGAAGGGGAGGCTCAAATTAAACAAGTTTTAATCCATCCTCTGCTTCCTCATTGCTTAGTATAGTAGTTCTCACAACTGAGTGTATATCAGAATCACCTGGTCTAACCAGCTTGTTAGACTACAAATTGCTGTGTGTGGCTCCCCAGAGCTTGGAATTCATTAGGAATGAGACTGGGCCTCAGAAGTTGCATTTCTGACACATTCCCAGGTGATGCTCATGCTATTTGTCTAGGGAACCACACTTTAAGAGCCACACTTTCAATGGGTAAAATGATTTCCAATCTCTGCTTCAATGAAATGGATGTTTGTTGGGTGAGTCTTAACTGTAAATCATTATTGTCAAATCTTTCAGTCATGACTGATCCATCGATATATGAACAAACGTGTGTAAAAATGGAAGAATGACATGTAACATAAAGCTTATAAACTGTGATGTATTTAATAAGTCTTAATTTGTTACGTATTCTCTTTTGAAGGTATTATTATTAAATTCTATAAATATTTATTGAGGTTTATTCTGTATCAAGTACCATGCAAACTGTAATTGATGTAGCAGAAAATAAGCCAGGCATGGTCCCCTCCCTCATGAAGCTTGCAGTCCAGCAGACATTGCCCATATGCAGAAGTTTCCAATAATAAACTCTTAGGAACACATGCTTTCCATTTGGTCTAATTTATATATCGTTTTCTATGGGGAAAGATTGGTTAAAAGATAAGCATACCATATTTCAAATGTGCACAACTTTTTTATATCTTTAGACTCCCATTCTTCAAGCTGTATTTACTTAAGCAAAATAAAATGGAAAATTGTGGCAGCTCAGTGGCAAACTTCCAATTGGTTCAATTACATGATTTTTGTCTAGCAAAATGGTAGGAATAATTGCTGTAATTCTCTACTTTGACTAGGATGTAATAGTTTCTAACTAAAACTATTTTCTGTGTTGGAAAGAATGATTTTAATGCTTTTATAAAAATCAAACTCTGTTATTTGATTTAATACACTCGTGGTTTGGGAGTTAAAAATTATAACGTGACACATCATTTGATGTTGACTATTTTCTGCACCAGTGTCAGCTTATAAAATGACTTCTTAAACATTCCTACTTGTGTAAAATTTCTCTAATTTCAATCACAATTTTTGCAGGCTTAACATATTAACGAAGTTTGTATTTCCATTTCTATGTGGTATCAAAATTAAATATTAGCTTTATAAGATCATAAATATATATTTTTTCATATCAAAATTTAATAGTCTACATATGCTACGAATATATATACTCTGAATACTAAAGACAGTTTCATCTATGGTTTCTATTTTTGAGAAATCATAGTTTGTTCTCGTACATTGTTCAACTACATACATGTGACTAAAAAGATAGATCTGGCAATCTGCTTCCATTAAGATTACAGCCAAGAAAACCCTATGCAGCAGTTCTACTCAGTAACGCATGGGGTTGCCATGAGTTAGAATTGACTCGACAGCGACTAACGACAATGACAACAAAAGTCCCAGACACTATTTGGGATTGCTAAGACTTGATATGCAAGTTTTGAAAATAAATAGCTGAAATTTAAAACTCAGTATCAACAGTTTTTCTTGTATAAAGATGAATGCCTGTTTTTATTCTCTCTCTCTTTGCTAGTAACATCTTCAAGGGATCAGCAGTGTGTATGTACAGCATGAGTGATGTGAGAAGGGTGTTCCTTGGTCCATATGCTCACAGGGATGGTCCCAACTATCAGTGGGTGCCTTATCAAGGAAGAGTCCCCTACCCCCGGCCAGGAACTGTAAGTGACCTAGGTGTTTAAAATATGAAAGGAATGTATTTCTCACCAATGTGAAAAAAAACTTTTTTTTGGCTATAAACAGACTTTAAATATAGATAATGTAGAAAAAAGATTCCACGAGTACATCACTGCAAGGCAAATATTTTCTGTGATTTCATGGAATTACACATTTAAAGACATTTTCTTTACAGATGTCTATTTAAGTTCAGTGCTTACCATTTATTAAGGCTCGTGATTTTTGAGAATTAGAAACTGAATGGGTAGCCTTATCTTTTAGACAAAAAAAACTAATAAATATATATATGTATGTGTGTATGTATATTCATGCTATTGATCTAATTCTCTCTCTCCATTATATATTTGTTGTTGCTGTGTGCCATTGAGTGGATTCCGAGTCATAGTGACCCTATAGGACAGAGTAGAACTGCCCCACAGGGTTTCCAAGGAGCAGCTGGTGGATTCAAACTGCTGACCTTTTGGTTAGCAGCCAAGCTCTTAACCACTTCGCCACCAGGGCTCCTAAATATACATACATATATATATGAACCAATATACACATGCTATTGGTTCTAATTCTCTCTCTCTCTATATATATATGTATATATATGTCTGTAGGACAGGCAAGCAGGCTAGAAACTCAGTTAAGTGTTAATACTGCATTTTTTAATACGAAATTTATAGGGCAAGTAGCAGAGTGGAAACTTTGGCAGGATTTCTGGCAGTGTCACAATTTTGAGGCAGAGCTCCTTCTTCTCTGAGAAACCTCAGTTTTTGCCCTTAAGGCCTTCAACTGATTTCGATGAGGCCCATCCGCATTATGGAGGATTATCTTCTTTACTGAGTCAACTGATTGTAGATGTTAACCACATCTACATAGTACTTTCACGGCAACATTTAGACTAGTGTTTGACCAAACTGGGTATCATAGCCTAGACAAGTTGACACAGAACACTAACAATCACATTTTTTTTCTAGTTTGTTATATAGATATTTGTATAACATTAAATAAGTAATTATATAATTTTCTTTAAATAAAAAGTAAATCCTTTAACTGTTACATTATTATGTTTGTGTGTGTGTACACACACACATATATTACATTTCTCATTTCAAAACAGTTTTATTGGTTTCATTTCTCATGAATTATTAATGATCTATATTAAGGTAATGTCAAAGACAATTGATTTCTCCTTCTAAGCCTCTTGGACAAGCAGGAACCTCTCTTAATTCCATTTTATCTCTCAAGTTCTTACAATAAAAAGCAGAAATAAGTATTGAGACAAAAAGCAAGAGATTGGAAATATTGTACTCTGAATTTCAGAATCAAATGCAGTGAAAAGACATACAGTGAACTCTGACTTGTCTCACTTGTTTTATTGTCTTACGTGGAACATTTATCTACCAGAGGTGACATTATGCCAGAGCTCACCAGTGCATCCTTTCTGGTGTCTATGGTCATCATCTGGTTGGCTTGATTGTGATGTCTGTTCTGATGGGTCAGTTTCTGTGCCATGCAGGTTGCTAAACACTTGGAATAATACCCCTGCTTATATCTAGAATTATTTTAATTATTGAAAGTCATTGATGATACTTTATGCAGCATTTATGTTAGAAACAAAGCAATAAAGAATAGTTTATATTTTAGTTTGAGAAAAGGGTCTGTATTTTAGCATGATGCCAGAGGAAAAAATTAAATGTGTCCAAGAAAATTGATATGAGATTCTTTAATCTAATGATTGCGTACATTTATAGGAGTAACAGGAACAAGCCCTGGTGGTGCCGTGGTTAAGTGCTGGACTGCTAATCAAAAGGTCGGCAGTTCAAATCCACTAGTTGGTCCTCAGGAGAAAGATGTCGCAGTCTGCTTCTGTAAGGATTACAGCCTTGGAAACCCTATAGGGCAGTTCTACCCTGTCCTATAGGGCCTCTATGAGTCAAAATTGACTCGATGGCAGTGGGTTGGGTTTGGTTTGGATAAACCAAAAAAAAAAGTTGCTGTCAAGTCAATTCTGACTCATAGTGACCCTGTAGGACAGAGTAGAGCTGCCCCATAGGGTTTTCAAGGAGTGCTGGTGGATTCAAACTACGACCTTTTGGTTAGCAGCTGAACTCTTAACCACCGTACCACCAGGGCTCCTTGGTTTGGATAGTAGCAACATATTTCATTCATAATTTTAAGTCTTCATTTTTCACATAAATAAAACAGGAGGCAACAGTATCCTCCTGTATGCTTAATTAATAGATGCATTTATAATTTTTGGTATAAATAGTGACATAACTAAATCCTATTGAGAATTAAGATATGTTTAGGAAATACATACTATATAATAAATTACTAATTTAAATAACATTACTGTTTTTTAGTTTATCAGTTACCTAACTTTAAAAAATAATTATGGGTAAAAGGATTCCTAGACCACTTAGGCCATATTATTATACAATTTATAATTCTATTCATCCGATCTTAATAAAAAATATTTCTCTTCTATCCTAATAGTGTCCCAGTAAAACATTTGGTGGATTTGACTCTACAAAGGACCTTCCTGATGATGTTATAACATTTGCAAGAAGTCATCCAGCCATGTACAATCCAGTGTTTCCTATCAATAACCGCCCAATAATGGTCAAAACGGATGTAAATTATCAGTTTACACAAATTGTAGTAGATCGAGTGGATGCAGAAGATGGCCAATATGATGTCATGTTTATTGGAACAGGTAAGTTTTTTAACTTCAGTGCTAAATTTTTTTCTAGAATACTATGTTTAACTGATTAAGGAGACTAACAACGAAAGGCAATGTTTATAGTCACTCTCAAGTTATAGTTAACCTGCCATAAATGGCTTAAAAAAAAAAGAACATTCTGCCATTACAGTTGTGTTCTCCTTTTAGGCAAGTGGACATATATTAATTTAAAATACCTTTTCAGTCAAAAGTTGATAAATGTAATCAGGTAAAGCTAATGATTGTTAGAACAATCAATGTCCATAATTGAATCATAACTCTTTTCTAGCCAATGGCTTTTTAGAGCAAAGATATATTGCTCAGAACTATGCCTAAAATTCCCAAGACATTTAATAATGGTTCCTGAATATACTAAAGCAAAGTTATCTGAACTGTAAAATTACCATAGGGTACAAGAATTCCAGCAAATAAATTTTGGCAATGAAATTTGTTTAACTTATCTGCCACTCAATGGGGAAAAAATTCCCTGGAATAAATAACAAAATTGGCGGAAGGAATCATCAGATACATTTTAGACCCATTTCTGTGGAAATTTAACAATATATTTCTATTAATTCCATTGTTAGAAACAAACTATTTACAGGCTTATTTTCGGAATGAATTCCACTGCTATTACAACATATTTTTTTATTTTTCCCATTCTCCCTTTAATAATAATACTATTTTTAAAGTACCAGTTACAAATCTGAAACTTGCTACTTAGGGTCAGATTCCAAGGTAATAAATTCCTAGTCTCCATTAACGTTGTTAACTGACATAAATCAATGAGAAACAGAGTGAGTGCTCCATTGAAACCTTGTATAATAACATTTATTTTCCCTTGGTGAGAAACAGAGCAAAAAAAATGGCATTAACTACAGGGGAATGGCAACTGTGCAGTAAGTGCTGTAAAGACTAAAAGTTTTGTAATGAAATTGTGAAATACTTATGTTATCAGGTGTAACAGTGTCAGATTCGGAGCAATACATTACAGTCTACTTTTATGGGTGAGACATTTTCTCTATCAAATAAAAGATTTCCAAGGAGACTCTGGGTCCAATCACTTGAAATATTATAAAAGTCAATGAATTGCAAGTATCAGCTTCTGGTTATATATATCTTTAGAAAATATAAGATGACAGAATGCCCTTCAATAAATATTAGTTTACCATTTAACGTCAAATTACAATTGAATATCTGCACAGTAATTAAGTTTGTTCAATAATGTGACACTTTTCCCTCTCTTGCCTTTTTTATCCCCTCTGGCTTAAACTTGTTGAAAAGCCCCTCACTCATTGTCAGCACAACAAAAGCTTGCTTCCGCCTGTTTGTCCAAAGAAACCCAATCATGAGCTTTTAATTCCTCTTGGACACAAAATGTCTTTAAAGGCACTGATTTCATGAGCATGCCGAATGTCTTAATGATATGGATAGCTATCCGTCAGTACAGACCAGGGTCATCTGTCAGCAAAGTAAATTGATTACAGTAATTTTATCTTTTAACTAAGTTGCACAACATAGTATATTGATCCTAGATGAGTAATCTGATTCAATTTGTGTGAAATTCTTTGAAATACTACTCAGTAAAACTTGATCTGGAGCACAGATAAAGTTGTGTTTGGGTACCAGAGACCTGATCAGAGTCACTGAGTAGATTAACATAAATTACCTTTAATCTTTGGTGTTATGAGTAGTCTAAGGTCCTGTAAACATAGAAGGATCCTCTTAAAAGGGGACTTTTTTTTTTTAACTTTACAAAGGATACGCTGCCAAACGTTCTTGATCTGGCATAGCACAGCATGTGGGTCCATTGAAAATGATTATCAATGATATGAATACATTGAAGTATTTTTCTTATATAATTTATTTTTAATGGTAAGATTTTCTTCTCTAATAGCCTGTTAAACATACATGAACCAATTTAAGCTAAAAATAATTGATCAAGTTTTGTCAGAATTGGAATGTTGAAGAGTCAAATATTTGAATTTCAAGGAAGAGCAAAGTACCTATAAACGCTAGAAAGTTAATATCTTCTGAATGCAAATTGGAGTAAAAGTGACAGTTCTTGTCAATAAAACAATTTTTTTAGCAATGAAAATTATAAAAAATAATGCTCATAATTTGGAAAATACATTCAGTTTAACTATTTTTATGATTTTCATGTTTTATAATTTTAAATTGCTGTATTACTCTAAAATTGATTAACCAACAAGTTCATTATTAAAAAACCACGGTAATAAGTAATCCTAGGTGTTCATTTTGAGAAACAGGTTATTGTCATTCATCACATAATAGTCATTGAGCTGTCTTTAGGGGCCTCTGAGTTGACATGAGGATGAGCAGCCAGTGTTCTCAAGCTCTACTTCTATTGCTGACAGTATTCCTTGAATTTTAAGTGTACATTTAGTCTTCATAGTTGTACCCTGGTTTCATACTAAAAGTGGAAAAACCTGCTGTGTCAAACTAGTATTATTTTTAAGTATTTTTTCCCAACACACCTGATAATTAAAGAGATTTTTTTTAAGTAATAAAAAATTAATCCAATCTAGCAAACCTCTGTAATAATTATTATTTTTTTAAAATTATATTGTGTTTTAGGTAAAAGTTTACACAGCAAATTTGGTTCCCATTTAACAATTTTTATGCAAATTGTTCTGTGACA